ATAACAATAGATTATAAAAAAAAAAAACTAAACACAATTACTAAAATTGAAAATAAATACGGTACCGAGGCACGAAGCTGCAGCCTTGCCGTCAGCTCTGTACGTACTTGTACAGGTAGGCGGTACTCATGCCCTAATTAGAGCCATAAGTGTCGTACCAGGAACCCACCGGCTCCAGATTCGTCCATCCAAGCAAACTATCGACTATAGATAAGATTTTGCGGTAGTTTTGTACCCTATCCTTTTCCATAATTTTTTGTTCGGAATTTGTGCCAAAATTAGCACTATAGGAAGGACAATTTGTCTTTTATGAAAAATAAATGGTATGACAACTCTTAGTTATCTTGGACGATTGTCGTCTCTAGTATTGGAGACAACCTGAATTTTTTCGTCCCCTAAAGAATACATGACGAGCATATATAAGGCACGACACTTTTGGCGCAACCTAATCGTCTAGAAAACAATGGGAACGAGGTTGCCTATTTTTTGTGACAACTTTTGTCATCCCTAAACTTTCTCTTTTTTGTAAATATATATATATATATATATATATATTAGACGAGACTATTACACCTTTGCTGGTTTGGAAAAGAAATACCATAAGCTCGTGACATGCAGGGGCGGAGCCAGGATTCGGAAGTCGGGGGGGCCGAATTTTTTTCATAGGATCCGTCAAATGTTAAAACAATAATAATGTATGATATGAATGAAAATTATTACGGTTATCGTGCATACATTATTTAAGATAATTAAAAAATCTAAACATATGATATGTACTAATTTTTTTTGTCAGTATGTTCAAGATAAATAATAAATGACAAGGAATTAGATGCACCTACGTACGTACGCTGCTATGCAAGGGTCGGCAACGTCAATCCGAATCGATCGAATTTAGACGTATTCTTTTTTTGAACTGCCTCGTAGAATCCAAACTATCAGGAAGAGCAGCCAAAGCAGAAACATAGTACTTGTAGCCGACCAACTAACAACGCAAGTAGTTTGGCGGTTTCTGCATTGGCCATTGGATCAGCAATGTTTTGCCGAATCCAGGCTCTCTCAGCTACACTCTCACTATATATAAATGAAACTTAAACAAAGGCGATCGATCATCCCCATTATTAATATAATTAATAGCGCATAATAATAATAATAATAATAAATACAAAATGACGAGTTCGTCGATCATCGCCATTACGGTAATCATCATCTGCTCGACGGCGGCGTCGTCGTCGGCGCAAGACATGAGCTACACATGCAACGCTGCGTCATTCCACGTCGACGACCACCGGCGCGTCTGCGTGTACCATCTGCTCGACAACTTGCTCGGGTGGACGGATCCGGTGCCGGTGGGTGCGTACTACGACACCTACGACTGTGATAACGGCCAGAACATGGTATACGGCTACAGGTTCAGGGACGACGGTGACGTGGCAGCGTCGTGCCTCGGTACGGCGAAGGACATCCTCCAGAACCGGCAGTGCGCCGGCCGCATCGGTGGTCGGGCGTGGGGCGTGGGATGTTACATGAGGTTTGAGATTTACCCTATCGAAAATTGAAGAGATCACGATCGATCAAGTGATTGATTAGGTGAGCGATGAATCGATGATCAACCGCATGAATTTTCTCTTGGTTTCTTTTCCCCACCCTGTAACCCTAGTTACTTGTTTTTGTGAAATTACGTGATAATAAAACTCCTGCATGGATTCACCGGCCGGCGGCCTTACGAATAATAAAACCATAACGTTGTTCTCGTAGTGCTAGGGACCATCATAGTGTACTTTGTTTCTGGCATCCATGTCGATAAATTGGAAAGCAAAAAAAAAAAAAAATATTACCCAGATCTTTGATTTGAAATCCCTTTTTTTCCGATTCCATGCCTCTGCTAGAGCTATTTTCATTGACTTCACATCGAGTTGTTTTTCTAGCTATCAGACGGGCTATCAAGCATATAGTTGACGGACCGGTTTCATTCGTACAACGTCCACGTCGCTGTCTTCAACTTCCAAAGGAGCGTCATCCTCGTCTCCCGGAGTTATTTGATCCAGTTTTACCTCCAGACTTTCAGCAGTGCTTCGGAGTTCTTTGGGGTTCCTTCTCCTAGCTTCCACCGCTGCCATTGTGTATTTTCCACGTTCGTCATTGTCTTATGAATCAGCTGTACTCTTTCTTGCTATCCAAACATCACCAAGGAGTTTCCCTAGGCTCTCTTTCCAATAGCCGTGACTCGTATCAGACGGACTTTCACAGCTCCAGAACTTAGCACTTAAAAGGGTTTGATTACGTCGTTGTACTAGTCAAAGCAGAAGGACTTTCACCTCTGTAAATTGTACGCAAGAAACAAAACTAGTCGCCGACCTGTCTACGGAAAACCTAGGGTTTTCGCCGCCTCTAAACCCTCGATAAACGAGAGAGCTTTTACTCATTTTTTACCTGAACATAAGTTTTGATAACAACCGCTTTGAGTCCATACAAGACTTACTATTCCACCTACCTAAATCAATATACTCTAAGACATGAGGTGACAACGAGATTCAAAGAATATATCAGCCGCGTATCCATGATAGGATAGAACTGTGCCACATTTGAAAAAATATGAAGAGGACTGGGCCATAACTCAACTAGCACTGAAACGAATATATAAAATCAAAAATTTACAAGTATTATACTACCTCTGAATCCAGTGTAGGACTAGGCCGTGGCTTGGGGCGGCCCCCTAGATCCGCCACTAGAATGTATACCACCCTACTTTTAGAAAGAAACACCACCACAACGGAATATAAGATGAGACTAATTATACGAGAGATGAGATTATAAGAGACCTATTTTCCTGTCCAATTAAATCGGTATGTATGAAATGACAATTAAGATAGAAAATAAAACTATTCGAGACTTACTATTCTGTCTACATCGAGTACCCAAGTACGCCTAAGGTGCTCTCGGAGTAGTCGCGGGTTATAATATTATGTTTTGGGTTAGTGAATTGCAGATTGGGGTTCACCCATTAGAGGTTAGGGTATAATAGCATGCCCCAAACTCCGGTTAATTCATTCTAAATAGAAAAACTCAACGGGCGTACAGTAGGCTAGGGTACGTACGTCCGGACATACGCTAGCCTTTGCCATATATATATATATATATATATATATATATATATATATATATATATATATATATACCTTATGCTACCGTACGGTACTTGAGTTTTATTAGTTAGACAATAAATTAATCGTAGTTTTGGGCATGATACCCTAACCACTAATGGGTGAACTCCAGTCCCCAATTCGCTAAAAGCATAAGATTGATTTAATCATGAAATAAAAATCAACGATTCTGATTCATTGAAACTATCATTGATTTTCATTTTAATTAAGATTAAACGAATCTCATGGTTTGTGTTAGAAAATTAGATATTGGGGTTCCCCCACTAGAGGTTAGAATATAGTATCATACCCCAAACTTTGGTTGATTCAAGATCTAAATAGCAAAACTCAACGTACGCACGGTAGCCTAAGTTACGCTAGCCTGAACCATCAGAAGGAAGATTCATGCACGCATGCATACCTAAGCTGCTATACAATATTCGGCAACATCAATCCGCATCGATCGAATTTAGACGTATTCAATTTTTTGTAGTGCACGTAGAATCCAAACAAACCAAAAGCAGAAACATAGTACCTTGTAGCCGACCAACTAACAACGTAAGTAGTGTGGCAATTTCTCCATTGTCCCATTCGGATCATGAACGTTTTGCCGAATGCAGGCTCTTAGCTAGCCAGACACTTACTATATAAATGAAACCGATACAACGGCGATCTCGACCATCACCATTATAATAGCGCATCATAATAAAGAGAAAAAAAAATGGCGAGTTCGTCGTCGATCATCACCAATATTACTGTAGTCATCATCGTGTCGCTCGTCGTTGGAATGACGACGACGTCGGCGCAGGACTCGAGCTATGCATGCAACGGTGCGGAATTTTCCATCGACGACCACCGGCGCGTCTGCGTGTACCATCTGCTCGACAACTTGCTCGGGTGGACGGATCCGGTGCCGGTGGGTGCGTACTACGACACCTACGACTGCGGCCGGAACACGGTGTACGGTTACAGGTTCAGAGACGACGGTGACGTGGCGGCGGCGTGCCTCGGTACGGCGAAGGACATCCTCCAGAACAGGCAGTGCGCCGGCCGCATCGGTGGCCGGGCGTGGGGCGTGGGATGTTACATGAGGTTTGAGATTTACCCTATCAAAATTGAAGGTCAATGATTAACTATATACATTTCTCTTTGGTTTCTTTTTTTTTTTACGTCCCTTTTGGCACAATAATAATAAAATTGTAAAATAATTAAGTGTGGTTGTCTTGTAAGCCAGGTTTATTTCGTTTATTCCCCGTAACCCTAGTTACTTGTTTTGTAAAATACGTGACCGGCCGGCGGCCATACAAATAAGAATTTCAGAATATCTTTTTATCCAAACCTTTTTAGATTCTTTTATATTATCCACACCTATCAAAATACTAAGAATCAGTCAAATACTAACTTCTAGTTAGCAATTTTGTTAGTAATATTGACTTAGCAAACATGATACTGACTTGAAAGAGACTCATGAAGGTTAACATTCCAAAAATTTAGTATTTTAACTAAGAAAAGAGTTATAAAATTATTAACAATAACATAAAAATGGCTAGTATTTTGATGTATTATGAAATATTTGAATAACTAATAGAATTTTAATAAGTTTGGATAATATAAAAAAATCTGAAAAATATTTGGATAAAAAATAGACATTACCAAAACAAAATTATTAACAATAACATAAAACAACCGACGTAAAAATTTTGTGTCGGTTATTCCGGCGGTTGCCCATAACCGACACGAATCGGGTTAGTGTCGACTGTTTTAGTGTCGGTTAAATGAACCGACATAAAATTATTTTGTGTCAGTTAGAACCAACACAAAACATAAGAAATAACCGACACTAAACGTCTGTTTTCTTGTAGTGCTAATTATAATCGTGGGCAAATCATTCCGAGTTACAGATCAATATGAGCTCAAATGAGAGCATACATGATGCGTTCTTTAGAAGTGCTAAGCATGATTTCAAATATATATCAAAATCAATGCAGCACTGGAATGAAAGAACTACCTCACCAGAGGAAGCCATGAAGGTCATCAAGCAAGCTATGGCGCCTTTATGACCTCACGTGTATCTGTGTACAAGCTGCAACAAAAAATTATCGATTACTGAAAGCAGCAAGTATGCAACACCAAAAACAATTATCTGTTCTATCCTTTCTTATTTCTGGGTTCAAGAAGCCACAACCTTCCACGAGATCATCAAAGAACTCTAATAACATCATCTGATCCACAAAAAGAAACCAGGGGACCTTCACCAGCAGCGGATCTACAAGGGAACTCCATACTGTAGGGCGGGAAAAGACAACATTACCAAATCAGAGTAAAAACGATGCACCAAACTGAAAACAGGTTTATATTAAGAAACCATAATCTAGAATCCGGAGAGAGAAAAAAGAGAGGGAAGTATTGAGAACTCATTGTTAATCTATCAAATGAAACACATGCAGTAAATGAAGGAGGGATGCAGTAGCTTCTAATTGTGTCTGCTGATCACACTGAGATAGATGCAAGAGATAAAATTATAATCGAATTTTTTTTGGATTGCTCGGAAAATTAAAATCGCGAAAATTACATGTAAGAGAAGGCTTTAAGACCATCTTGGAACCTTGGTGCAATGCTGCTCACATGCCCATTAATATCTCTAACCCTATGCAAATACAAGTGGAAATGCAGAGTATCAATCGAGAGAAAACTGCGATCCAGAACTAGATCTAGCAGAAATGTAGCAAAGAACGGCAAACCAAGCCTTACAAAGACACAGATGACTACAAGATAGCGGCAATAAACTTGAAATTTCTATAGGATAGCACCCATTTGGCCATTTATACTTCTCAACAGTGAGAACAATGGCACCATAAGTAATTACTTTAAACTAACAACAAAGAGCTTAATCGTATGATATTAACACAATCATCCTGAAACACAAATGAAAACCGAGGAAGAAGATACTTGTCAATTGTCATAGGACTCTTCGCTGCCTGTTGTCTCAATCAAAACATAAAAGTTGTGCTTAGTGGGAGCCAGTGGATTCCGAACACCATCTAGATTGTTTAAAACCTAATGCACATAGTAGAATAAGTAGCCGTATGATAAAATAGAGTGAGAACTATAACAATGCAAAAAATGGCAGCATTTTCTTAACACTCAAGAAATATTCAATTGAAGGACAAGAAAAAGATCCAAGTAGTAGAGTAGTCATACCACATCCATCGCGACACTGTCCATAAATTCAAGGCGGATAGAATCTCTCCAAGATGCCTCTTTGCTTCCATAAGAAATTTCTGCATAAATGCCCACAAGCTTATGTGTTAAGCTTCTTAATTCTACCGTAAAGTGAAAAAAATATTAAGAAGAAACAACATGGTGGAACTCTGTTTTTAATAGTAAAGCAAACAGATGACTATCACAAAAAACCCCCTTAAAATTGAGTCAATAAATCTCTCTGAAATTATATGATAGATCCAAGCTTGTTCTTAGTGGTTGGATAATAATTCTGATCCATCCCTATTATATGTTAGATAAATCTAGTTCAAGGAACAAACCCAGTGTAGATCACACTAATTTCATCAAGATACGAGTTAACAGAGAGAGTGCTTCAGCTTATTGGACACGCCAATTGAACAAGATGATAGACAACATGACAAACAAGTAACAACCCAATAACTTCATCGAGGGACAAGTTAACAAAAAAAGAGCTTCACTTCTAAGATTTATCTACCCACCAATAATCATGCTTTCATAGACAGTTTGACGATCAACAACTCAGAAGAGCACATGCCTAACAGGTTACAAGAAGCAGCAACACTCAAAGTTCCTCTACTTAGTACAAATTTCCAACTAATATAAAAGCAAAGCTGGGATGCTAGCAGCTGCTTACGATAGAGGCATTCCCCTTATAGATTAAATTCAAAAGACTACAACAAGTGTTTAGAATAGATAGAATAACTTGTGGAAATGCAGCCTGCAAACCACTCTGACTCTATTAAGAAACAGAGTTCTAACACACCAAATAGGCTACCGAGAAGACAAGAATTCTAACACATGTAATAGGCTCCCGAGAAGCCAAGACATTAAAATCATGACACCAAATTGAATCGCATGTTCTAGATGTACTCACTATTGCATGCAGCCAGCGGCAGCAACCGCACTACAAACCCTAAGAAACCTAATCGGAGCTCAGAAATGAGAGATCGAGCAAGGGAGAGTGCGAGCGAGAAAAAGAAATTCAAGTATCACCTTTCAGTCGGCGTAAGTGAGGAATACCAGAGAATCGTCTCATCAGCCAGATCGAGTGAGGGAGACTGGAATCGCCTTTCAATCGAAGCGATTGAGGAGGGAGATCGGAATCGCTGATTCTGATGACTTGTCTAACTATTCCCGTATCTCTCGCCGCTCCGCCGTGATTCTCCGAACTGGATCTCTCGTCGCTCCGTGGCGATTTTCCAATCTCTTTCACTCCGACGAAATCTTTCGACGAACAGGGACCGAAAAGAAGAAGAATCAAAATCCGAATTAGGGAAGAGGGATTTCCTAAAGCAATGTTAGGAAAGGAAAGAGAATGCGATATATTTAAGTTTAAGGCTATAGTAAGGGTTATAGAACCCCTGCAACAACCCGTTGCTACAATGATTTCCGAATAAATTAGCAGCGATTTGGGAACCCTTGCTACTAAACCCTTGGTATAGATCCTTTTTCTTGTAGTGATTGTTTCCCAAGGGGTCCCTCTAATGGGGAAGATCGGTGAGGGCCACAAGAGTGGTTCATTGACATTGTGCATACAGACCGACCGAGAAGGAAATAGAGCCGCGGACCGGCTTTCGAATCGCAATCTCGTCTATCCTTACAGTATGCATTCAATCTTTCGTAATGATGTCTTTGGGATGTTTCGTTTGAGCGTCAAGTTGCGACACAAACCACAGAAAAGGGCAATTTGTGTACAGCCGGCCGGAGTTGGCGGAGTTTGGAAATTTTTGGCTTGCTGACCGTTTTTTCTGTCTCTGTATGGTAATATTATTTTGTGGCTATGATCAACAGAGCACTATTAGATAATCATTATAAAAACCCAGACATTAGATTTCTGACGAGCAACGACAAATTGAGAGGTGGCGATTATCACGATCTACTTCCTTTAATTACAATTTGTTTCCTCCTACATGATTTGCTCTTTTCCCTTAATTACATAAAATAATAATAATAATAATAATAATAATATATTCTGCTGATCAAGATTGTTAATTATTATACGTACCTTAAGAAAGCATGTCGACAAAAGAACATACCCTCCTGTGATGAGGCCACAATCGCCAGATACGTCAGCTCTGACGACATCCTAATAATTCACTCACACAATTAGTCGCACTCGCTTAGCTTTCGGACCTTTGTTTCAGTGTAATTATTCTGCGTAATTAGTCACCATCGTTAATGTGCATGCAACTTCGATTATGGAAATTTGACTATCATGTAAATTGTGTGGGCGGCAGTTGTTAGATTGTCGTTCCGGAGGAAAGAAATTAACTCGTACTGTAGTGATTCGACTGTTTCACATCTATAAAAGATTTGTCTAGTCAAATCGAGATCTCTTAGTTGACTTAAATTTATATTAAAAATTAGAGAAGAAAAGTACTTTGTGAAAAAAAAGTTGAGAGAAAAAAAATTTGCTTGACTCGATCAGTTTACTTTGCACTGAATAGTTAAAACTTACAGACTCACGACAAACAATCTAAGGGGTCGTTTGGAAGTTACGATTGTTAAATAGATGTATTGTTAAGAATGCATGTATAATATTATACATGTATTGTCGAATTTGATGCATTGTAGAATACAACGTTTGGTATGTGTGATTGTGTATGTCGCATTAGCTAAAAACTGAGACAAAACAATCTCAACTCAACTATCTCAACAATCACAACTAAAAGTTGAGATATAACAATCACTCAAAATGAGTGATAGTTTCTGTCACATCACAGAAACAATACATGGATTGTTTCTGCTAAAAAAACAAAAAAACGATGCATTGTAAACAATACATGCATAAGGACAATCTCAACAAAACAATCGCAACTTCCAAACGACCCCTAAAGATCGAGCTAAGGATTCCAAACATGATTAGTGTAGTGAAGATCCGTTTGTGCAATGAAACGTTTTCCAACCAAGCCTTTCTCGTTTAAACCAAACGTTGCGTTCTACTTGTTTTAGTTAGCCGTTACTAATTGTATATTTATTTTTAGCTATTGGATTTATAGATATATAGTAAAATACGAAAGTTAAGTATAAACACTTATGGATACTTTATTTTGCCTGTAAACTAATGTTATCGTATAATAATACATCTATAGTAATAAAAATATATGAAATTAATAATTTTAAAAATATAAATAAATAAAATTCAAAGTATCTATTTATTTCATTAAATACGGGTATTAAACGTGTTATACAAATTTTATACATGCCTAGAACGGGAGTCATCAAATGGAGAAAAAAATATAACGGTTTGTCAATTGTATGAAAAGTGGAAAACAGATTTTTTTCCCATTTTTAAACACATTAAACACATATGTTTATGTATATGTATATTAAACGAAGTATTTACTAGTTATCATTGAGTTAGTGAATTACCATAAGGAGATGACGCAACAGGTGACGATACTTGTCTTTGGAATCTAACTGTGCATATTATGAAGCAATAATTGACAATACTGGTATAGCCGACATTTTGCTTTGGTTCTTCGCCCGATCGGTCGTGTCACCTTTCCTTTGTTGTTTTCTTCCTTTTCTAAGCTCTCACTTCCCCTGTTACAACTGTGATTTTGATATCATCATACAGTAACTTGGAGCCGCATTACACTCCGTGCTAGCTAGATGGTTGAGACTAGCGAGTCGGGAGTGTGCAACGGTTTGGTTCAAAGCAGATCATATCAGATAGAATATAATTAGTGCCAGTACGTAGTAGTACTGTGGGTGTGTGTATGGGCGGAGACCCTCCTGAATAGTACCTTCAAATTACATGGGTCTCTATCGGACCTTCAGTATGCATATGGAGAATTATTATTATGGAGTGTTGAAATTAAAATCACGAGTTTAAAATAATAGAAAATTATGCATTATACTTTGATTATGCGTTTAAAAAAAATAAAAAGAATTAACGGCGAACGGTGAAAGAACGAATGGATCACATGAGGGGGAAACTTTGTTTTCTTATTAGAGTTTTTTTCCCCCAACCCATATAAGAGAGATCCTTCTTTGTCGTGTGTTTTCTATAGAAAATAAGAGAGGTGAGATTGCTTGTCCCATTATCAGCGTTAACACAATAAAACACAAGTCAACAACAATAAAATGAAAAAGTAGATCAATTATAATTAGCAGCGTTAACACAATAAAACACAAGCCAACAACAATAAAATGAAAAAGTAGATCAATTATAATTAGTTCGTAATGTACTTAACTTTAGACTAAAATTTATCAGTTCTCTTCAATATTTGTATCTCTATTATTTGTTTCTATTATTCGATTCTTCTATATTTTTCTCTCCGACTCAATTAAGTTCTCGTAACTTATTAAGATGGTCAAGTTAAATATTATTTTTCAATTGATCTACTCTTTCTTCTAAATTCTCCTCAACGACTTAATTAATTTCTCGTCACGGATTCAGGTGAGCCAAGTTAAGATTATTTGTCAATTTATTTACTATTTGGGATTCTTTTATTTTGTTTTTACTTGATTTAATCTCACAAGTAATATATTTTTTTGTTTCATCTCTAAATTTCAATCATTTTCACTATATTCGAAATAATATTAGATGGATATTATTTTTAACTAATGTTGTAATGATTTAATGTGTTTATTGATATTTTTATTAGATTTTTATGAAAAAACATTTGGATACCATTTTTTTATAGAACAAGACCTTCGTAATCTCAGGACCTGCCCTGAACAACTCGACTTAATGATCGAAACAGTTCTTGACAAAGAACACCATTCGAAAAGAGATCGACTAACTAAATCATTAATAATTGTTTGGTCACTGTATTCTTGGTAGTTTCGACTACTAATATATTTTAATTTACCAAACTTTTCCAATATAAGATTATATCATGAATGATTAGCAAAGTTAACAAACACTACTACTATTGTCAAATGTATTTTCCTTCTAAATGGATCTACATTAGACGAAATTCTAATTACGCTACTGAGGCTACAAATTGAGTCGCATATGGCTCCGACAGTTTTGGTGATTCGGTGAGGAATTAATTAAGTAGCCGTGTTTGATTAATAGAGTCGAACTAGCTAGCATGTATTAGACGAACTCGTGGGACAAATTATATTGTTACGTACAAATCAAGTAGGTACTAGCTAGGTAGTCTAGTCGCATGTTCATTAATATTGTTCTAAGTAACGTTATCGGGGAGGGTTCGATCCAATTAACCTAGTTTTTAATCGCTCCAATCGATATAGAGTTGACCTAACAAATGACAATTAAAGAAACGTGTGTGATGATTGAAATTTGATCACCCATAAGTAATTCATTTGTTGATTCTGTGATGATCTGATCCATTTTATGTACTCTAACCTATCTCTTTACCTTTCAAGGATCCAAATATCTTTAGCAAACATATATCGAACCCAAATTGAATCATGTACGATACTATTCCACATATTGTAAAAGTATATATCCATCTAATGCTATAGCTAGATGTAGAATAAAATCATATAATACCGCATTGTGAAATTCGCTTTATTTTATTAAAAATGTCGGGACCTCCTATAATAATTTGGGTATAATTTCAAGTTAATTAACTTGCATGAATCTTTATCGTTAGTACAACTGAAATAATTCAGACCATTGATAGTTTGATACAACTGACCTTTTTTTTTTTTTTTTTTTTGCTTCCTCCGTATGGTATATAAATGTGCATTATTAAACAATAACAATCTCAGAGATCTCTGATTACTGGCGAGCAACGACAGAATCATTGAGAGAGGCAGCGATTACGATCCCATACTTTAAATTTCCTCGTTTTCTTGTTTCCTTCTGCATGATTTTTGCCCTTTTCCGTTAATTGCATTTGACATTATTGTAATGCTCTGGTTTTGCTAATTAATTATTATATACGTATCTCTCAGAAGTTAGGAGAAAAGCATATATGTCGATAAAAACAACATACCCTCCTCTGGCTGACAACGCGACCAGAGTCCAGAGACGTGAGCACCGACAACATCAACATTAATTCATCGGCGAATTCAGGACATGATAGAGTAGTAATGTGTCGCATTTGAAAAGTGGCGAAAAGGGCTGAATCGTGACCCAACTAGTACTTAATCGAATACCTCGAATTGGAAAAATTTATAAGTGCTATATACTAGCTCAGTAGCCATGGCCTGGGTTGGCATCTGGCCTAGATCTGCCACTGTAATTACTCAGTCTCGCACCCGCTTAAGTTCCTTTGTTTGAGTGTAATTTCTATGCGCAATTGATCACCAGTAACGTTTCGATTAAGAAAATATTACTATTATGTTAAGTGGATAGCGATCGAGTTTTGAATCGGATACACGATGACATATGTTCCCAACAATACTAGTTTGTTTTACCATCCAACGATGGGAAAACACGTTGCTAAAAGGGATCCGACGACATAGACAATTCTCTCATCGCCATTAACCAAGTACTGAGCTTTCTCGACGGATAAAAAGGCAGAAATTTGCTTTTTTGCCTGACGAATAAAGGGGCAAACTTCGATTCGGGTTGGATTCTGAATCCCAACAGGCTTTCCTATCTTTTTATCAGGAAAAAAAAAAAAAGGGTACAAAAGCAAGATAGACAAAAGGCGAGGCAGACATTCGAGCCGTGTGCCAATTGGTCACTCATCGCCCCAGCCCCGTCTCGATATCGTCTTCGTCGTCGTCTTCCCCTGTTCATCAAGAATCATTTTGTGGCCATCTTTTTTGTTTTTCTCTTCCTTTTCTCTCGTAATTAGGTGATGATGATCCTCCGTCCAGTCTACCAACCAACCACTTATAAATAAAGGCGTCTCACCCGCCGCTCGCTTCTCGTCACTCCCTCCCTTCTCCCTGACCGAGTGGCAGGAGCCAGCCTGCAAAAACCGCCATTGAAATCATCACCAAACAAACTACAAACCTCTTCCATGGCTGAATTTACATGACGCAATCCGATCCCTAACCACCCATGATTCTGCCCTGTTTTACGAAATCAAAGTACGGTTTTGTGGAAAAGGGGTGCTATCTGCGTGGTGACTCTTTGAAGGTCGGTTGGTTTGTTACTTCTCCTTCCCCTCCACGCCACAACCTTCCAAATGTTTACTTCATCCCCTGTTTCATCACAAAAACTGGTTTCCATTCTCGACTAGTTCCCCAATTCTCACTCTTGAACCAGAAATGGGTTCTACTTCATTTTTAAAATGACTCTGTTTCTGTGGACATAAGTATATTCTTAGCATGTGACGGTTGTTCCGATTGGTTTAGATCTCACAGTACTTTTGATTCTTAATCTCGCGTACCCTTTTCTTTAATATATTTGTTTATCCCCTCTCTGCTTTTGTTTATTCCCGGTAGGAAGGTAGAGAGAAGTTGCAGCAACCTTTACGCTTCCAAATTCGGGAACCCCCTGCTCCAGCACCTTTTATGGTTACAAATCCTGGCCAGCAATTCCAGGAGATAGTGATTTTCGATTAACTTAACAAAGAAAGATTCTACCTTTGGCCAACTTGGTAAGGTACTAACTCTATATTCTGCTACCCTTTGGCCAACTTGATAAGTAAAAGCAATCTTTCTTTCGGGAGTGGGAGTACTAATGGGTTCCTGGTTCTTATGCAGAGAATCTCTTACCATGGATGGCTTGTGGGAGATGTTCTGTGGGAAAACGGGGACTCCTGATGGAGGACAGCTGCTGAATTCCATCTCCATGTTGTTCTTGCATCATCCCACTTCTTGTGCCAATCAAGCAATCGTGATCTGCTTCGACTTTGTCCTTCTTGCTCTGCTCCTGTTCAACTTCATACGAAGATCATCATCACCATTCAAAATGGATAATGTTCTGCCGCGATTTCGAGCTCATTCGAGGTTGCAGCTAGGATCTGCAGTCTTCAATGGCTGCCTTGGTCTCGTCTACTTGTTATTAGGAGTATGGATTCTGGAAGAGGAGTTGAGGGTACATGACACCGCGTTGCCGATGAAGAACTGGCTGCCATTTTTCCTCCAGGGCTCAACATGGTTGCTGATTGGATTGGTCATAAGCCTTCGCGGAAGATCTCTTCCCGAATTCCCACTCAAGCTTCTCTCCATTTCCGCATTGTTGTTTGCCTCAATTGTCTGTGGATTGTCCGCGTTTGCAGCAATTGTAGATAGAGTTGTTGGAGTGAAGGTAGTTGCAGATGTGCTGTCGCTTCCAGGAGCTTTTGTGTTGGTGTTATGCGCTTACAAGGCGCTTGATAGCAATGAAGAGGCTGAAAATGGCCTGTATGCTCCATTGAATGGCTGCAATGGTGTAGAAAAAGATGAACTCACTACTCCGTTTGCAAAAGCAGGAATCTTTGGCACCTTGTCATTCTGGTGGCTGAATCCGCTCATGAAAATCGGCCGAGAGAAGACGCTGGAGGAAACCGACATCCCCAAACTAAGGCATGCAGATCGAGCAGAGACTTGCTACATGGACTTCCTCGAGCAGCTTAGCAACGAAAAGCCATCTCAACAACAACCACCATCATTACTGTGGACGATAGTGAGATGTCACTCGAGAGAGATTTTAGTTTCAGGGCTCTTTGCTTTCTTGAAGATAGTCACAGTCTCAGCTGGTCCAATGCTTCTCAACTCCTTCATACTCGTCGCAGAAGGAAACTCCAGCTTTGAATATGAAGGCTATCTGCTCGCTGTAACCCTTTTTCTGTGCAAATGCGTAGAGTCCTTATCACAGAGACAATGGTACTTCAGGTCTCGGCTCATCGGCCTGAAAGTCCGATCTCTACTCACATCCGCCATCTACAAGAAGCAATTGAAGTTATCAAACGCAGGCAGATTGACACACTCTGCAGGGGAGATAATGAACTACGTTACAGTAGATGCTTACCGAATCGGCGAGTTCCCCTTCTGGTTTCACCAGACGTGGACCACAAGCTTGCAGCTCTGCCTCTCGCTGGTGATCCTCTTCCGTGCAGTCGGCTTAGCCACGTTCGCTGCATTGGCGATCATCGTGCTGACGGTTCTCTGCAATGCTCCGCTCGCAAAGCTTCAGCACCTGTATCAGACGAAGCTGATGATGGCACAGGACGAGCGGCTGAAGGCTTGCGGGGAGGCCTTGGTGAATATGAAGGTGCTGAAGCTGTATGCCTGGGAGAAACATTTCAGGACTGTGATAGAGAAGCTGAGGGAAGTTGAGTACACATCGCTGAGAGCTGTGCAGCTCAGGAAGGCGTATAATGGCGTTCTGTTCTGGTCTTCACCCGTTTTGGTCTCTGCTGCTACGTTTGGAGCTTGTTACTTCCTCAAAGTTCCACTCCACGCGAATAATGTCTTCACCTTCGTAGCAACGTTGAGGCTGGTTCAGGAGCCTGTGAGGTCGATCCCTGATGTTATCGGGGTGGTGATTCAGGCGAAGGTGGCATTCGCGAGAATTGTGAGGTTTCTCGAGGCGCCAGAGCTTCAGAATGTGAGTCACAGTCAACGGAGCAGCAATGTGGGTGGTGCTGATTATGCTGTTCGCATAAAGTCGGCAGATTTTTCATGGGAAGAGAACTCTTCTTCAGCAAAGGCTACACTGAGAGATGTGAGTTTGGAGGTCCGGCCTGGTGAGAAGGTGGCAGTCTGTGGAGAAGTTGGCTCCGGAAAATCAACCCTTCTGGCGGCTATTCTTGGAGAAGTTCCAAACACCCGAGGATCTGTGAGTCTGTTGAAACTCTTATGGCAATGTAATTTTGCAGTAGACTTGAATTTCTGACATTGTTGTTACCACCACAGGTTCAAGTTCATGGGACAGTGGCCTATGTTTCTCAAACGGCTTGGATTCAGACTGGGAGCATACAAGAGAACATCTTGTTTGGGTCTGCCATGGATAGACGGCGATATCAAGATACTCTCGAGAGATGTTCCTTGGTGAAGGATCTTGAGCTGCTGCCCTATGGAGATCGAACCGAAATCGGGGAAAGAGGAGTCAACTTGAGTGGTGGTCAAAAGCAGAGGATTCAGCTTGCTCGTGCTCTTTATCAGGATGCTGATATATATCTCCTGGACGATCCATTCAGTGCTGTGGATGCTCACACTGCCACAAGCTTGTTCAATGTAAAATCCTAGAGTAAACAAGATATTTTACTCTTTAGCATGTCTTTATCAGGAATCTCACTTTGAACTTACTTTTCAGGAATATGTTATGGAGGCACTAGCAAGGAAGACTGTCTTTCTGGTGACCCACCAAGTAGATTTCTTGCCGGCATTTGATGCTGTTCTGGTAAGGCTTTTTCTATCCAATTCAGATGATTGCACACCCATACAGTCTGCCGTTTCAACTTTTGGATGAAAGTCATGACGAAGTTTGAGTTTTTTGCAGTTGATGTCAGATGGAGAAATCCTACGAGCAGCTCCTTACAACGAGTTGTTATCATCTAGCCGAGAGTTTCAGGAACTTGTTCATGCTCACAAGGAGACAGCAGGCACCGAGAGGCTTGAAGAAGTTTCTTCTGCACATAAAGCAGGAGGATCATCTTCCAGGGAGATAAAGAAAACATATGTGGAAAACCAAACACAGGTGGCACAAGGAGATCAACTTATCAAGAAGGAAGAAAGAGAAACGGGAGATACAGGGTTGAAGCCATACATTCAATACCTGAATCAAAACAAAGGATATCTCTACTTCTCCCTAGCAGCCATTAGTCACCTCACGTTTGTGGCTAGTCAGGTATCACAGAACTCGTGGATGGCTGCCAACGTCGATAATCCAAACATTAGCACGTTGAAGCTGATCGGAGTTTACTTGCTAATTGGAGTTGGCTCAACTGTGTTTCTCCTTAGCAGAGGAATCTCCACTGTAATACTTAATATGCAATCTTCAAGGTCACTGTTCTCACAGCTTCTCATCTCCCTCTTCAGAGCACCCATGTCGTTCTATGATTCCACGCCTCTTGGACGAATACTTAGCCGGGTAAGCAAACATGGGGAAGATTCAAAACAATCCACATGCCAAGAATTAGCAACTAACTGAACTTTCGTCTTTGGATTCTTTCTGCTTCATAGGTGTCTTCTGATCTCAGTATTGTGGACCTCGATGTACCATTCTGCTTCATTTTCACCGTTGGGGCGACCTCAAATGCTTATGCTAATCTTGGAGTTCTGGCGGTTATCACATGGCAAGTCTTGTTTGTGTCCATACCAATGGTTTATCTGGCAATTCGTTTACAGGCATGTCTCTCTGTCCATATTCTTGAAACTGGTTTTTGTTGTTCTTCCACATTTACTAGACAGAAACGAGCAATAACCTGTTCCTCAATCCTTCTTCTCCACAGAAATACTATTTCTCATCTGCAAAAGAGTTTATGCGGATAAACGGTACCACCAAGTCCTACGTGGCAAATCATCTGGCGGAATCTTTAGCAGGGGCAATAACAATACGTGCTTTCCGGCAAGAGGAACGTTTCTTTGCCAAAAATTTAGACCTCATTGACAAAAATGCTAGTCCTTTCTTCCACAGCTTCACAGCAAACGAGTGGCTGATTCAACGGTTAGAAACCATGAGTGCAGCTGTTCTAGCTTCTGCAGCTCTCTGCATGGTTCTGCTGCCTCCAGGGACTTTCAGCTCTGGTAAAAGAAGATGCCAACTTCTTTTTCAACTTTCATTTACTAGAAGGAAAAATAAAAACTCGACTCATCTGAATTCTGAGCTGTCATTTATCCGCAGGGTTTATTGGAATGGCTCTCTCCTACGGTCTTTCCCTAAACATGTCCCTTGTCTTTTCGATTCAAAACCAATGCACTTTAGCAAACTACATCATTTCAGTTGAAAGACTCAATCAGTACATGCATATACCCAGTGAAGCACCTGAAGTGATTGAAGACAATCGCCCCCCACCATCCTGGCCATCAGTGGGGAAAGTGGAAATTTGTGACCTGAAGGTAAGAACTTCACTTAAAGATCCTTCTAATTTAACTATTGAGTAAACAAAAGTCAGCACAACTGAGGAAGTTACCATTTTTAATGAAACAGATAAGGTATAGGCCTGAAGCTCCACTTGTTCTCAAAGGGATCAGTTGCACATTCCAGGGAGGGCATAAAATTGGCATCGTCGGGCGAACCGGCAGTGGGAAGACCACTCTCATTGGTGCACTATTCCGTCTGGTTGAGCCAGCAGTAGGCAAGATTATTGTGGATGGTATCGATATAACCAAGATAGGACTTCATGATCTTAGGTCAAGATTTGGAATCATACCTCAAGATCCTACTTTGTTCAATGGAACTGTGAGATACAACTTGGACCCCTTAGCTCAGCACACTGACCAGGAGATATGGGAGGTGAAAATCTTGCTATCTGTTATTCATCTGGGTAGTTGTTTAATCTTGGACTGCCTGCAAATCTGAAATAAGATATCATATTATAATGTCTTCATCATGCAGGTACTTGGTAAGTGCCAACTTAGAGAGGTCGTCCAGGAAAAAGAAGAGGGATTGGACTCCTTAGGTAAGTATTTGTGGTAGCAATTAACTTTAGGTTCTAGGTTTCTGATCAAAGACTGAGTGACTAAGTTATCAATCGTCTTTAACAAACAGTTGTTGAGGATGGATCAAACTGGAGCATGGGGCAGAGGCAGCTATTCTGCTTGGGCCGAGCACTCCTAAGGAGAAGTCGAGTACTTGTTCTTGACGAGGCAACAGCTTCCATTGACAATGCAACTGACTTGATATTGCAGAAAACCATTAGGACCGAGTTTGCAGATTGCACAGTCATCACAGTAGCTCACAGGATACCAACCGTGATGGACTGCACCATGGTGCTCGCCATTAAAGACGGTAAATTCCTCCTTCCAGTTTCTCACCCGAAACAAAAGCATTCAAGATTGATTGCCAGTGTATCTAGAATAATTCATTCTGATTTGTTTGGCTTGTGAACAGGGCAACTGGTGGAGTATGATGAGCCAATGCAGCTAATGAAGAGGGAAGACTCCTTGTTTGGGCAGCTTGTCAAAGAGTACTGGTCTCATTCTCAATCTTCAGAGTCCCAGTAACCCCCCAAAAAAGAACTTCTGAGAAGCCTTGTTGTGCCCTAATTTTCCTTAGGAATCGGCAACTAGACCTTCCCGGCTGTTGTAGCCTTGTAGAAAGTGTTGTAACTAATGAGTAACTTGCAGACGAACTAGAAGCCTGTAGCGAGAGGGGAATATGGCAGAGCATGGAAAGCTAGAATTAGATTTGTAGAAATGGCTCCTAGCAAGAAATTGAATGTAAGCAATCAATTCATGAAAATAGCAAACACCCATATCACGCCAAAATTTCTGCAATCACAGGAATATCATTTTGCTCATTCACTAAACAGAAGACAACTGGGTCTGGTCAAAAAGCACTTTCATTAACATTCTCAAAGCTTCATTGCAATAGGCACACAGCAAAAACAAGGAAACAAAGCTCCAAATGTGCAGTAATGCAAGCAAAAGCAAAAACCAGAAAGGAAGAACTCTAAGGTCCTCCAAGAACAGCGTTCTCTATATCTTCCCTACTCAAAGCATAACTGAACCTCCTCTCGACATCCTTCTCGAGGCTCCCCGGTCCACTCTTCAAGTACCTGATGTAAAGGTCGGTCATGTCGAGCGAGAGCTGAGCGTGCCAGTCGGGCTTCTCCACCAACCAAACGGCGCGGTCTTCTTTGCTCTGGTGAAACCCCAGTTCCTCGAGCCAAGCCTCGATGCAAGGCAGGCTGTGCGAGTAGAGCGGCTTCTTCTTGTCCGGAGCCCTCTTCCGCCAATGGTCGTCCTCCTCCTCCTCCTCGCCCGCCGCCGCCGCGTCGTCCAACTCCGACGACCTACAGGGGAGTAGCTTAACCGCTTTACTCCGCCAAAAGGACGACGAAGCCCGCCGGTAAAAGGAAGAAGAAGAAGTGGGTAACGTGGGGAGCGAGCTGAATTTGGAAGGAGGAGTTGAGAAGCGGATGGAGAACGCTGTGGTGGTTCCGATAATGGAGGAAGAGATGTACGACATAGTAATTGCGCCGATGGAATCTGTAATTACGACTATGGTTTCATCTGAGTAGGCAAAATTGGGAAGGGTTTCAATGTTTCAGAGGGAAAGGGGAGGGAGGAACTGGCTGAGTTCAGTTTCTTATCTTCATCCCGCGCCCGAGAGTTAGCACTTAGCAGTAGCAGTGACCCGTGGTGTTCTACCCGACCCGACCCGACCCTGGTCAAATCAGGTAGTGTTCAGCATTGACTGATTTGGGTCAACTTTGATTAGGATGGTAAAATCGGCCAGGCCGGCCCAAACTTAAATCAACATATTTCAGGGCTCATATCGGCAGAAAGCGGTGGGCTTTCAACCCAAACAACCTGTTGGTCCCGTACATGTTGTCGTAGGAATTCAATTTATTGAATTGAATTGTAATGAAGCTGCTGCTTCTGATTTATAGAGAATGAAGAAAAAAAATACTATGGAGTTGTTGATTTGTTGTAGTAATTGTTGTGTAGGTGAAGGTTATCCAATAATAAATGTTATCACGTTTAGTGATATTCCTAATATTTTATCGTGTTATTCTCGGAAAGTGTGTGATATTATACAGTGGCGGAGCCAGGAATTTAAATGAGGGGAGGCTAAAAATCTACGCTCGGAAAATTCGAACTGACGAGGGGGCCGGGCTAAAGCCTTACGAACTACTATGTTTCTCAAAAAAATTTACCGAATTTACATATAATTTTACGTGATTTTGCGAGTTGGGGAGGGAGGGGGTATAGCCTCCCCTTGGCTTGAGGTGCTCCACCACTGATATTATAATTGCCAACTTTGCATGATTAACACGTTTCAAGTTTGTACATTACGGGTTTGCCATGTGTATACCATGTCCATGTGCTCTAGCCATGTTCAGTCTTGTCATAAAGCAAAGCAACTTGTCGTTCGAACCTGCTTCCTCAATCTTTATATAGCGTTATTATTGAAGGAACTGGCCATTTAAATTATTATTTTTTTATAGTTTAATTGATATTTTTTAATATCTTATTATGTTATTCTCGAAAAGTGTGATATTATAACCGCCAATTTTGCATTATTAACATGTTTCAAGTTTGTACGTTACGGGTTTGCCATGTGTATGCCATGTCCATGTGCTCTCCCCATGTTTGGTCTTGTCATAAAGCAGAGCAACTTGTCGTACGAACCTGCTTCCTCAATCTTTATATAGCGTTATTGTTGAAGGAATTGGCCATTTAAATCATATATTTTTTGTATAGTTTTATTGATATCCCTAATATCTTATCATGTTATTCTCTAAAAGTGTGTGATATTATAACCGCCAACTTTGCATGATTAACACGTTTCAAGTTTGTACGTTACGGGTTTACCATATGGATGCCATGGGTTTTGATTTTTTTTTTACCAAATTACTTCATTTATGATTTTTTTTACCAAATTTTATAATATTGTCATTTGTACAAGTACATTTCAAATATATCTAAGCATATTCACTGTGTAAATCTAATTACCATCAATTTGGACATGACATTTAATAAACTTGAAAGCTTAATTATCTCAATATAAGCATGCTTTTTTTAGGGTACCCTAAGATTTTGTCTTTAAATTTTTAATAGACTACTATACTTTAATTTCTTGTTAATTCCATCCAAACATGGGGACACTCTCTCAAATTTTCCCTCCAACATATTTCTTCCATCCGTTGCCCTTCACTTGAAACAGTTCCTCCTCCGACAATTTCTTCCCCTCATAGTACTCGTTCTTTCGAACAAATTAAGAGATTGCAACCAAAGAAAAATTTTGAAGAAGAGGAACTTGTGACAACACAAAGTAATTACTGGTGTGTTGCCTCGGTGCCCTGAACTAAACCTCTCTCATCAGTTCCATTATTGTACATACTTCGCAATTCCTCGTACCTATGGATCGGAGTAGGCCAACAGACGAACCTAGGTCGGAGTACCTTAAAACAAGGATGAGATAGTTTTAGTTCAGCGAAGAGCTCTAGCTCTCCCCTCCTCAAATCGCAGGACAAGAAAGTGGACGACATAGGCATAGCTACAACATCATGACGATAGTTGAAGAATGCAATTTCCGTCTTCTCTGGATGCAGACCGATAAATGTGCATTTCATAGGATCATATTTAGCTTTCTTCATCAACCCTTCAAATTCTTTACTCCAAGATTTACGGTCCGGTTCGAGCCTCCAAACAGTACTGGAGACCAGATCCCCTGAACAATCATCAGGTGCAGGAGGAGCAGAGATCTTTCTGAATGCAACTATGTGCAGAGCACCTTGCGAGACCGAAATATTCCATTTTGGATTCTCAGCGAGCATAGAAGAATCAATGGAAATGAGAGATAAATCTAGCCGGAATGGATTAAATGCAACCAATATAGGAGTATCCTTGCCATCATCATCATCTCTAGCATAAACCCAAAACAACTCGTCGTTGCACGAAACTGCATTTTTCTTAAAGATGATGCCGTCGAGAACAAGAGCCCCCCCTGTCCATTCTCCAGACTCGGAGCAAAACCGATCTAGCTTTGCAGACCTCTCATGTTGGTACAGTATCACCACTCGAAACCGATACTCGGAATAAACGAATGTTTTATCATCGTCATGATCTCCTAAATCAAGATCATGAGAGATACGGGGTTCGCAAACTAACCTCGCCGCCCATCCCCTTGTAGGTCCATACTCCATCGCCCTTTCAGGCGCCAGAGGGAGGGCCAACCATTGCTTCGTAAACGGATTGCAGACCACGAACGTCCTGCTGAGCTCGCTGTTGTAAGCCTGGCCCACGAACCCGCACAGAAGCAAGTCCTTGAAGCTATCCAAAACTTTGAAATGGCCTCGAGCGTCCATGGCCGCGGCGGGCATGAAGCTGATGATCGATTGCACGTCGTGCGTGTAATCAATGAGCAGAGGCCGTGATGACGACCCCTCGTTCATGCTCCGGTGGTGAGAAATGAAACTGAGATTGAAGTTGGGACTGGAGATCAGGCGCCTCCAACGCTTGCAGACGGTTTTGCAGCGACAGGCGGATCTAGGGTTCGGGAGGCACCGGATCAGAATTTCTACGAGGAGATCGTCTCCGAGTTTGTCGATGTGGTTTGCTTCCGACAACCTTCGACGTCGTTTGCTACGGGTCTCCATGGTGGCACAAATGTTATCACGTTCTTGCTCTGCTTTATAGTTTGATTGATATTTCTATTATCTTTTGCATGATTAACACGTTTCAAGTTTGTAGGTAAAAGTTTGCCATGAGTATGCCATGTCCATGTGCTCTAGCCATGTTTGGTCTTGTCATAAAGCAGAGCAACCTGTGGTCCAAACCTGCTTCCTCAATCTTTATATAGTGATATTGTTGAAGGAATTGGTCATTTAAATGGTATATTTTTTATAGTTTTATTGATATTCCTAATATCTTATTATGTTATTCTCGGAAAGTGTGTGATATTATAACCGCCGATTTTGCATGATTAACACGTTTCAAGTTTGTACGTTACGGGTTTGCCATGTGTAAGCCATGTTCATGTGCTCTAGCCATGTTCGGTCTTGTCATAAAGTAGAGCAACCTATGGTCCGAACCTGCTACCTCAACCTTTATATAGCGATATTGTTGAAGGAATTGGTCATTTAAATGGTATTTTTTATATAGTTTTATTGATATTCCTAATATCTTATTATGTTATTCTCGGAAAGTGTGTGATATTATAACCGCCGATTTTGCATGATTAACACGTTTCAAGTTTGTACGTTACGGGTTTGCCATGTGTAAGCCATGTTCATGTGCTCTAGCCATGTTCGGTCTTGTCATAAAGTAGAGCAACCTGTGGTCCGAACCTGCTACCTCAACCTTTATATAGCGATATTATTGAGGGAATTGGCCATTTAAATGGTATTTTTTTTTATAGTTTTATTAATATTCCTAATATTATATTATGTTATTCTCGGAAAGTGTGATATTATAACTGCCAACTTTGCATGATTAACACGTTTCAAGTTTGTACGTTACAAGTTTGCCATGTGTATGGCATGTCCATGTGCAGTGGCGGATCCATAAATTTTTTATAGGGGTGTCCTCTTCTAAAAATTAAATTAAATTAATAAATTAATTAAATAATTCATAAATAAAATAATATCCGACTAGTGCAAATATACCATATTAGACAATAATTCACGAACTAATCGCATATTCGATTTCTAACCTTGTTCATGATGTAACTCAAATTTGAACGACTCTTTCAACTCTCTTGTCGTATACCTATAAAATCAATTCAAACTAAGGATAGCTCGAATGAGTTTAATTGTTGGGTTTTGAAAATAATTGGGAATAAAGAATAGTGTTTTTACTATTACATAGTGGTTAAAATAGAATAACAAATGAGTTGCAACCTAGAGAATATGTTTAATAACAGTAGTGTCCTAGATTTGTACAGAATTTTTAATCATACACAAACTACTATCGAGGACAGGATAATTATTTTTTCAAAATTTAAGGGTGTCCCGGATTACCAATTATATTTTTTTTTATTCATACGAAACTACTACCGGGAATTGGATAATCGTTTTCCCAAATGTTAGGGGTGTCCCAGGATACCCCTAAAGCCCCATGTATCCGCCACTATCCATGTGCTCTAGTCATGTTCGATCTTGTCATAAAGCAGAGCAACGTGTAGTTCGAACCTGCTTCCTCAACCTTTAAATAGCGATATTGTTAAGGGAATTGGTCATTTAAATGATTTTTTTTTTATAATTTTGCTAATTGTTCTAATATCTTGTTATGTTATTCTTTGGAAGTGTGTGATATTATATTATAACCTCCAACTATTTCATGATTAACACGTTTCAAGTTTGTCTTTAGAATTTTTAATTGACTAATATGCTTTAATTTCTTGTTATTTGTTAATTCAACATTATAGGTAGGGCCATCTCCTTAAGGATATATGACACACACTCAAATTTTCCTTTCAACGCATTTTTTCCCTCCGTCATCCTTCACTTGAAGCAGTTCCTCTTCCGACGAAAAAATCCATGGGCCGAGTGGCCGACGATCGCTTCTCTAATAATAATAATAATAATAATATAAATGTTTTTGACTTTTTGTAATCGTCAATGGAGGAAAGTTCGTGTTGGGCCAAATGTTGAGGCGCTTGGGCTCCAGGCCCATAGTAGCCTAAGACCCATTGCTGGGCCAAATAGTGAGACACTTGGGCTCCAAGCCCATAGTAACTCAGAGTCCGTAAAGAAACGAGTCGGGCCTGAGTAGGGGCAACGAGTCACCAAAACCCGCCAAAGGCGGTCTTTTCCTACAAATACAGCGAGAACCGCCCAACATGGATGAATGACCGCCCGACATTCGGACATATGGATGATTGGTCCCGACCTTATCGGTACGGAGTCTGACAAAGGTACAGATAAGTTAGTACTGTCAAGGGCGTCCCAAGACCGCCCGACATAATGGCAAACGGAAACCTGGCTCTGACATGATCAGTACGGAGCCTGAAAAAGGTACGGAGTGACCAGGACTGTAGAGGGCGTCCCAGGACGCCCGACAAGTCATTAAATGCCCATGATCCGCGTAGCACTAGTATAAATACTCAATTGAGAACCACATTGAGGGTAACTTCTACCAACTCGATTCTCTCTCTTATTTACTCTCATTTCCACTTATCTCTCTAACTTTAGCATCGGAGGAGGTCCCAGGAACCCCCTGAGGACCTTTCTGCAGGGTTTCGGAGACCGCCCTTGACCATCGAAGACGCCCAAGGCCAGTGGAGTCTCACAAACCGCTTGGAACAATCCAGGCACAAACATTTTGGCGCCCACGGTGGGCCCCCCGACTTTGTGGCGAACGAGATGGGAGACGACTTCGAAACCCCCCTCAAGAGGATGACCGAAAACAACACCCTCCGAGGCTTGTCGCCGAGAGTCGAAGATGAAACCGAGCTGGAAGAAGTAGTCAAGAGTTAAGGAATGCAAATCGCGAGCATGCAAGATAGCCTTTCCCAAATCCTTCAGCTTCTAAAGACCCAAGACGACCAAGCCGAAGGATCGAAGGGGAAGGCACGCGACGAGAAGCTGAAAGGCGCTCTTATCCTCGACAGCCCCGCCCGGACGGAAGGCGGAGGACTAGAGGCCGACGACCCGGATCTCAACTTTCTAGAGGAGCATTTGCGGTCCACCTTCGGGAAGCACAAGAGTCCGAACATCCTTCAGAATCCTTTATCGAAAGAACTCTTCAGGACTCCGGTCCCTCCCAACTTCTCCTCTCTTGGACTACCTACCTACGGCGGGACATCAGACCCCGCCGACCATCTTTGCGCATTCATGTTAAAAATGCAACTCATCAACGCGATAGACTCGGATCTGTGTCGTGCGTTTCCGGTTACCTTCAACGGTCAATGCCGAATGTGGTACACCTCCCTCCCGGAAGGGATTATAGAAAACTTTGAGCAGTTTGCAATGCTCTTCTCCACCAATTCGCGTCTCAACAGCGTCGCAAACTCACCGTCTCGGCACTCATAAATTGCCGACAGAAGAAGGAAGAGTCGCTTGCCGAGTTCTACGACCGATGGAACGCGATAGCTTGCGAGATAGATGGCATCTCCCCAGTCGTGGCCGCCGGGAACCTCCGAATCTCGACGACCAGTCTCGAGCTGAAAAGAACACTGATAAAAAAGGAAGCGACCCTGACGGCCTGGTCCGATTTGGATCAGTTGGTACGCCGAGCAATCTTATTGGAGGAAGTGCTAGCCAAACAACGATCGAGGCCAGCAGGGCCGCCCCCGCGGAGACGCCTCAGAGCGCGGAGACCCCCGAAGGGGAAGGCGGTCCCCAGACCGTAGGTCGTACCGAAACAAGTACACTGATCGTGAGGGAAGAAGAGACATGCTCTCCACCGATAGGGAAAGGGACAGAGATCGGAAGAAAGGAGGCAGAAAGTATGAGGCGTCTTCCGCTCAAGAGCCACAGGAAGGAAAGAAGTAGTGCGACTGGCACCAAATTACGACCCATGACACCACAGAGTGTAGAGAGTTCAAGGCCACGCTCCGACACCTGGCCCCAGGAGACCTACGAAGCAAGCTGGAAACAAGGCGATCTCACAGAGAGCACTCCACCGAGGAGCGGGAGGAGTCGCCGAGTCCTGAACAGGACAAGACGAGACGGGCAAGAAAAGAGAGATCAAGGTCCCGTTCTCGAAATAAGGTCGCCTCCCCTCTGAGGCAGTCTCCCCCCTACAGAGCACCCCGGAACGACGATGACGGAATGGAAGTCATAACAATCGCAGGAGGCCGAAAGCGCCCAAGAACCGAAGGCGACCGCATCGCCCAGTGCCTCAACGTGCAGCGTAGAGTGGCGACAGAGGTTACCTTCTTGCCCTCTGAGTTAGCCATGAAGAAAGCTCAGAAGACCCCTTGGTCGTCTCTTTTCGAACCGCCAAATTCAAAATCACTAGAGCCCTAGTTGACAACGGAAGCTCAGAGGATATATTATTCTACTCGGCGCTCAAGGGAATGAAGAAGACCGTCCAAGATCTCCAACCCTCCAACGCCAGCCTTGTAGGTTTTTCAGGAACAAAAGTCCGCGTCCTCAGTTCAATCACCCTCAAAGTCACTATAGGAGAGGGTGGAGTTACAAAGACCCGCCCGGTGGAATTCCACGTCGCGGACTGCCCTTCCGCCTACAACGCCATTTTAGGCCGCGGTTTCCTCGCAACATTCGAAGCGGTCGCCTCGACCTGCCATCAAATGCTGAAATTCCCAAGTGGGAACCTTACGGGTCGCGTCCGAGGTAATCCCAAGGATGCCAAGGAATGCTACCAGGTGACGATCGAACATCTGGAGGTCGACCTGGTCGACGCAAGGGATGACGTACCCCGCCCAGAGGCGGTCGAAGGCGACGTGGCAGTCCCCCTCAACGAAGAAGAGCCAAGCAAAACCGTGCGCATCTCGGCCCACTTGGCCGACGAGGAGGCTCAGAAATTTTTAACCCTCCTCCGAGAGTTTCAGGACCTCTTCGCATGGGGACCGGAAGACATGCCAGGCGTTCCTCGCCGAGTCTCCGAGCACCGACTCTCCGTCAAGCCCAAAGCGAAGCCAATACAGCAGCGGAGGAGACAGTTGTCTGTGGAGAAACAAATGGCACTCGAG